GGTTCGTCTGTGCCCTCGTCATCTGAGTCTTCCCATGTTGCCTTCAGAGACTTGTTCATCTTCTTAAGATTAGCACACTCATACTGAAAATGCCCAAAACCACGACACTCCCTGCATTGGTACTTTTCAACTTGTTGTGAGTCAGGTTTCGAAAAAGGCGTACTATTCTTCTTGTCTTGAAACGCATTCTTGCTGGAATTGTTGTCTTTCTTCCCAGCAAACTTATTCTTGTACAACCTTTGACTCATCTTTCCATAGTTTCTCACAATTAGTGCAAGAGACTCTTTCAGCTTGCTATCGTCCACCGTTGGACCTTCATCGTCGTCGTTGTCTTCTTTTTCCTCAACTACAACAGCTTTAAGAACCAGTCCCTTGCTTTTGACTTTGTCATATTTATTGTTGATCTCAAACGTCATTAGTTCGCCAAGGAGTTCATCAACATCCAGAGGTGAAATTCTTTGGGAACTCTCAAGGAGCAACTGTTCTCATAATCTTTTGAACTTGACGATGCTCAGACACTTCTTCTCCAAGCATCGCACTTTGATTCACCAGATCACAAAATCTGGCAAAGTATATGTCAATTGTTTCTTCATCCCGCATTCTGATTTCATCAAATTCCAGAGTCACCCATTGAAGTCTAGACGCCTTGACAGTCATTAAACCTTCAAATTGACGTTGTAGGATCCGCCAAGCATCTCTTGCAGTCTTGCATTGAACTATCATCTTGTGTCTTGTCTGGTCCACTGCCATCATGATTGCATACAAGGCACGATAGTTGGCTTCTTTTTGAAGCTTCTCAGCATCTGTTCAGTTGTCTTTTGGTTAAAGGACGATAGCCGTTGTAGCTCATTTTCCTTGATCTGGTGCTTCTGCCATGACAGAATGCTCCCATACTTTTTCAACACATCCCCACGCACCCCTTCCAAGCAATCTTAGGAATATCGTCATCATAGATTTCCAATATGAGTAGTTGGAGCCATCCAGTTGCAGAGGCCTAGACATCGATCCACTTTCTTGATTCATGATTGCCCAAAACATAAGTCCCTAGATCTTTCGTAAAACACACGAAAACCCGCTCTGGTGCCAATTGAAGTTTGATACTTGTACACCAAGTATTCATAGTTGCTTACAAATCGATCAAACATAATTAAAAGAAGATTCAAATAGATACAGAAGCAGTATTTATTAAAAACTGAACCTTCAAGAGAGCGTCCCACTCTCCCTTCGGATCTCTTTCATTAATGCAAATATCACAAACATTCTTCAAGGGTTTACAACATAGACTCCCTCTATACTCTACTTGAACAATGATTTACACTATTACTTATTCGACTACAAATTCCTTGTGGTTTTTCTTGTTTGAATCCCTCAAACTTTATCAGAGTGAACCTTTGAACACTCTGTCAAATTTCTATCGAAAGTAATGCAGACAATTTGGATCACTATACTCAATACGAAAACCTAACCAAACCCAGAAAATCAAAGATCCAAAAGTCATCCTCAACATGAGTTTTGTCCTCCTTTTATGTGCGAGCTACATTTGGTAAGTCTTCTCATTTGCTTTCCCTCCAAGACAGGATGTACTTATCGTGAGTCTCTTGATGCCCAAAAGTCGCGATCTCTCTCTCATAATCATGGAAGGTGAATCTCGAGCTTATTCCCATAGTCCTGCCAGAACATATATGTATTATCAATACTCAACTTTAATTAAAAAATACGTTTAAGCAATTTAAATCAAACTTCTCTTATATATTCTTGCTATTTTCTGAATCCTGAGAACTTCAAGAAGGTTAGTCGATTTATTACCAATCTTCAGAACTTACAGAAGCGATGGGGGCGGCGACCGGTTTGGTGAGAGTGAGGGAGGGCGATGGTGATGGTTTACGAGAGAGATGAGAGATGGGAGTGATGGCGGCGTAAGAAGTGAAGGGGAGAATAAGGTTTCTCATATATTTATAACATTAGGTCATGGCAAAATACATGCCAAACAAGAAACATAAAAGGAGGGAAGGGTCAGGCGCGGGTTGCTGGATCGGGCGTGCAGGTTCTAGCCAATGGGCGCGGGACCGGGTTCTTCTTGGGCTTAACTTGGCAATTAAAAGGCTCGACCATGGTTTAAAATAATACTCGGTTCAATCGCATAATATCCAAAAAACTATGGGCATACTTTCCTCCATTTTCAGGGTGTAGAGTCTTTGCTTGAGGTGGGAGGAAGGAAAAGCGAGGCCAACGACTTCAAACCTAAATATGACTCGGTGAGGCAATGTTAATTGGCTTCCCCCTGGGAGACTTTCTGACTTCACTGCGCTTCGCTTCTAGAGAGAAAGATAGAAATCGAAAGGCAAAGAGATAGGCAAGCCAAACCAAATAAGGAATCTTTCAACTTTTCTTCGAAGTCAGGATTTGTCCAAAAGAAAAAAATTAAAATAAATCAATCCGGCCACATATACAAATATTATCACACAATAATATATATATATATATATCAATTAAGAAATTAATATAAATTAGACAATTAATTCAAATAAAAATAACAATGCCAATAAATAACAATCCGAAAAATCCAATAAACGAACGGGCTTCACAACTCTTGTTGGTGTTGCTCCATTTCTTTCCTTGTGTAGGTTGCACGAGGCTCCTTAGCCTCGTATCTTTGTAGATTTTCTTGAGTTATAATATCTATTATTTTGAAAAAAAATATTAAAATAAAAAATAATTTTTGTACAAGATTCTAAAATTTTGAATCCCTTCTATATATTATTTCAGAACGTGCTGAATTTAAGTGGCAAGTTCGCATGCTTCGAGATCCTATATGAAAAAATTACATGTTTCGTTATTAGGCTTGAGAAAATTTTAATTTACTTCCAATTCAAAAATTATTAGGTCCAAATTATCCATATATATGTTGATTATTTATGGTCGGATTACATGTATTTATTGCATTCTGATATCATTTTTTATTATGACTATTGAATTGTAAATGTATTATATAAGTTAATAACTTTTTGTATTTTTTATTTGTTTTACATGTATAATATATCAAATTAATCATCTCTTGTAAGATTCAATTTAACATCTATATTGTATGTATAAAAACAAAATAAATTATATTTATCTTTATGACAATTTTTTTTCCCGAAACGATAGAGGTACTATAATAAATCAAAAGCGCACAAATGTGCGAATAAAAATGCAAAGCTCCCAACGGGAGAATAAAGTGGGAGGACAGTTCAGAAGCCCTCCTAGAATCCCGCTAGCAACGCTAGAATAAAAACTCGACTCGAAACTGAACTGACCCCAACAGGGTAATAGTCGGGCACACTAAAAACCACAAAATAAAAAACACAAAGACCCCAACAGGGTAATACCGAGTGTCGGACCCCAACATGGTAATAAAGGTGACACTCGGCTCACAGAGGTCAATGACCCAAACCTAAAACACAAGGACAAACACAGACACAAACACAAACATCACAAAACAAGAACGACAATAACCAAAACTATAACGAACTAAAGAATAGCCCTCCTTCAGCAGATACGACCGAGATTGAACAGCAGACAAAGTCGTCTTCGAGGAAAGATCCAAAGTCCAGGAACTCCACCCGTCACTGCCTAATGCCTAGCAAAGACAAAGCCTCGAGCCTCAAAACAGTCCAAAAAAGCTGACCCGCTCTCCAACCGCTAGAACCACAATCGACCCCCAACCGGCTAACCACTAGCCAAATCCTACACCATCCCGAAACTGGCTATCACCACTAGCCAATTCCGGATACAGTCGGCCTCCAAAGTACTCAGAAGATCAACAGGGAGGAAGGGATCGAATGGCTCTCGGCCCAGCCTCACAAAAACAAACCGAACAAGCGACAATCCCCTCCTAACCCATCGCAAAAAGTCCGAACCCTGCCCCCTCCGCCCCACTGCGCCAAAATCGACGGAACAGAACAAAGAGACCGGCGACCTCAAAGATGAGCGAGAGAAAAATCGCACCTACCTGGGTTGTTGAAGTGAGCAACCAAGCCACCTCCAAGGGCTGACGGCGCAGGCCCGAACCCCATACCCGCTGGACAGTCAGCTCCATCGCACACAGAGGAGAAACCCTAGCCCGCCCCGTTGGCTTGAGATACCGGACAGTAGCGCCTCAGCCTAAAATTGGATGCGCCGCGGGAGAGCCGTCCACCGGCGAGCCCGAACGACCACCTAAAGAGGCTCCAACCGGCGTGAGATTGAGCGAAGAAGACGAGGGTTCTGAGTTCGCGAGAGAAAAGGAAAAAGTATCGATTATTTCTTTATGACAATAATAAATTTTTTTTAATATTAACTAGGAAAAATAAAATTATTTGTCAGCTAATATATTTATATATCAAGTAGTTATATGATATAAATTATAAAAATTACAATAATATAACACATGTATGTCGCACAAGCAAGTGTCATTCTAAAATATATGATAGTATATACTTTTTATAAGAAATTAGATAAAATTTAAAACAATGTTTCTTCTTAATTTCAAAATTTAAGAATATTTTTTTTAATTTACTGAAAACAAAAACAACACTGTGGCATTATTTTAATGACAACTTTGTTCGTCGTGATTTGTCAAAGAAATTAATTATTTGATATCCCCAATGTAAGTACGTTTTACTTTTACCAACCTAACATTCAAGAACGTACAAAGAATTTGAAATAAATTACTTGTGCAAACAACAAGACTCGGATTGAAGCTACGAAATTTCAACGGTTTACATATACAACAAACAAAAACTATTCATCAATAGAAGCTAAACAATTTCCTATACCACTTTACCGTTTTGTTCCTTTTTCTTTTTCCATTGTTTTTCTACTTCACATGAAGGAGACATTAATTCCCTTAGCTTTAACACTACGCTTTGGCTTCCGAATTCAACATAACAAACTGTACAACAAGGAAATAGAGATCTTGTAATTTTTACACACTTGATCAAATGAATAGCCAAACATAACAATCTTTTCCACCTTGAAATCTACCTTTCAATATCCACCGGAACAATCGACTTCCCAATTTGAAGAAAAGACGTAGGCTGCTCCATCTTCTTACCGTTGGCCTTCTTTTGCGCCTCAACATCATCATCATTTTCATCAAGATCATCATCCTTTTCCTCTTCTTTCGATAAATACCTATACTCGACTTTTTCAGAGTATAACTTGACTATGGCCGCATAACACGCCAAGGCAAAAATCATCACCCCTATAACGCACCAACTGAATTGAATGTTGGCTAGCGCTCTAGCACGCTCTAAAGCCTCCTCCCCGTGACACCGGACCACCCTATGACCCTCCTCCAAATTCATGAAGCAACCCTTAGGTATTAGAGTAGGGGTCCACAACATGAAGCCCATGACCACAAGCCAAACCCCTTGAAACACTATGCTAAGTGACCTCACAAAGCTATTCAAGAAACTAGTGGGGTAACTAATTTCCAATATTGTCGTCACAAACGATATAAAGATAGCGATTTGTAGTAGCCAATGGTACTGGCCCTCGACCCCCATGTGATCGGCCGAGTGGAGGTGGAAGAGGAGGAGTTGTTGACCGAAAGCCATTGCACCTAGCAAGTTGGTCAACTCGTATTGGGCGGGCAAGGCGAGTTTATCTAATAAGATGGAGAAGAAAGCATAGATGAAAAAAGAGAGGGAAATATTTGAGTGTTCAAAGTTATGGAGGTGATTAGAAGGGATGGTCCAATCGAGGTCGAGGGGTTGGTGTCGGTCGGGCCCGATGAAGAGCTCCATGGATATGGAGATGGAGCAAGACAGCATGATTAGGTAGAGCTCCAAATACCTGATTCTTGAAGTTGGAAACCAGGGTGATGAAGATGAGTAGGATTTGGGGTTAAGGGCGTGGAGTTTGATGTGGTTGACTAGGTGCCATAATCCAATGACAAAGAAGCCAAATCCGGTGGCCACGTGGCCTATAAGAGTTCCCATGTCGATGTTTTGGGTATATGGAAAAAAGTGAGCAAGAATATGAAATGAAAAGAGTTGAAAAGGAAAGTGTGAAAGATTTGTTGTAAGTTTGGGGATGGGATGTTGGAGGGGTTCTTATATTATATGGGCTTCATATGATTTGAAAAATAGGAAAAAAAATAAAATAAAAAAATAAAATGTGATGTCCAGTGGCTTCCAAATGGATTGAAAGCACGTATGACAATTTTGAAATAGCAACTCGTGTGGAGACTTGGGGAATAAGTAGAGATGAATATATGGACTAATGTTAATAGCTTTGTAGATTTTGGTTTTCTAGAATGAATAGCATTAGAGAGAAGGATAAATAAATTGTATTGCTTGTCTGAAAGGAATTCTTGTTAATAAAATAATATATAGAAAAGAAAAT